ATAGGAGCCACCAAAATGAGTCTATTTCCAAATCGGGCGAAATACAAGCAATCGAAATTTTCTTCCTGTAATGCCTCCCCGGAGACCACAAAAACAACCTCCAGGCCAAAGGACACTCCGAATAAACGCAAACCTCTCACAAAAGCGGAATTGCAAGGCCTAGAAGACGATATTAAAGCGAAATTCCAATGGGAGCACACTGTGAAAACTCACCAGCTGGAAGGGATTGTCGGGCAGCTACAGATGCGCGACGTGCTTGTTCATGCCGGAACTGGATCCGGAAAGACCGCCATAGCTGCAGGCCCGCACGCCCACAAGAGTAGCGAGGGCAAGGTGACGCTGATGATATCGCCGCTCATAGCTCTACATGATGAGCAAGTGAGACATGTACCTCGCTATCGAAAGCCGTGACTAACAAGCGTGTCCCAGGTGGAGACATTCCGTGAGGAATTCAAGTTGAAGGCGATTGCTGTGAATAGCAGCAATGGAGGCTGCAAGATAGAGGTCTTGAAGGTGCGCCCGTTATGCCCGTCTTATATACATCGAACTGACCCTGCCTCACTAGGAAATCGTTAACGGCGAGCACCAGATTGTACTCATCTCACCGGAGATGGCTTTATCGCGGCGCTTCATCCGCGAGGTCCTGCGAAACACTGAATTTGGAAGACGGGTTTGTCAGTGGTCGTTGACGAAGCTCATGTCGTATCTCACTGGGGGGCATCGTTCCGCAAGAAGTACGGAACATTGGGAATCATCCGAGCGTTCCTCCCACGCGGAACACCTATTGTTGCGCTGTCTGCGACACTGCCGGCTCGGATTCGGAGCGATGTTCTGAGTAAACTGCAGTTCAGCCGCGACTACATCAACGTCGACATTGGGAACGACCGACCAAATGTCTCCCTCGTTGTCCGGGCAATACAGCATCCCATTAATACCTACGCCGACCTTGACTTCGTCGTTGGCGGGATAAAGGAAAGGAAAGCTTTTGTATGCCGACAACATCGCAACGGGTGTCGAGATCGCAGACCATTTGGAAGAGGTGCTCCCGCCAGAGGATCGAGGGAAGGGCTTAATCCGTCCCTACAATGCTGCGTTGTCAAAGGAGTACCGAAGGGAGGCTATGCGACTTTTCAAAAGTGGTGAAATTCGGGTTTTGGTGTGTACCGATGCTGCTGGGATGGTAAGCCTTGACATTTAAGAAGCGAGACGTGACTGACCTTGCTTCAAGGGCTGTAACATCCCGGATATCGATCTCGTAGTCCAGTGGAAGCTGCCAGGGTCGGTCTCCATCTTTGTGCAGCGCGCAGGACGAGCTGCACGAGGTTCCGGGCGCTCGGGGCTAGCTGTCTTATTGGTTGAGCAGAGCGCATACGGCGTTGATGTAGAAGAGGAGATCGCGGCGAAGGCGGCGCCTGCGCGGCCAAACAAGGCAAGGGAAGGGTAGACCAGGCTGTCGAGTCGGCAACAGCGAAGAAACGGCAGGCACAGAAACGTAAAGCCCATGCCAAAGCACGGGGAGTTAATCGGGGCTCCGTAGGGGGAAACACGATGCGATCTTCGTACATGATACCCCGCGCTAGATCCAGAGGCAGCCAACGAAGGCCTACATGTTCTCGTGCAAACAGGTCTCTGTCGTCGTCTGGTCTTGACGGAAATCTATCAGAACAAGGCACCGGGTAAGTAGATCAGTTGCGCGCATCCTCTTGCTAAATGTACTCACAGCTCCAACGGCGCCTTGCTGTGATTCTGCTGTCCCGATCTTCTCGACATTGTACGGCCGGGTAAATTACCCCCAGTGGCCCGTCAGTCCGCTGTGAAACGAGGCGAGGTTAACGTGGATGTCCAGAAAGAGCTGGATAAGTGGCGGACAGAAATCAAGACAAAAGACTTTCCCCGGTCCATTGTACGCACCTTCAATGATCCTCAAAGACGAAACAGCGGCCCTCCTGGCGTCGGTCGGACCTATAACGTCGATGAATCACCTGAAGAAAACACTGTCTGATCAGTGGTTATGGATCGACGAATACGGCGAGTCTTTATACCTGTTCTTGTCGAGTCTATCAATTCCCCGATGAAGCCGCTACCCAAGAAGACGCGTGCACCCAAACATCCCCGACCAGAGACAGCCGAGGGTAGTGGGATGGGAGCTGAGGGCAACGTTGACGAGGGGCGTCCGCAAACGCGTCGAGAGAGGGAACGTCGATGACAGAACACAGCCGCTTATCACCGCTGCTGGCACCGCGGAATCCCCGCATGCCGGCACAAACAATTCTGCTTCAACCACCCGAAGACAAAAACGGCAGACAGCAGAGGAGATTAGAGCGGAATTTGCACAGTTACCTGTAGATCCTAAACTAGCCAGCCTATTTACGCGTTCAAATTCATGAATGATGTGTCGTGACCGCGACTTCGGTGATGGCTGAATGTTTCTGAAGTATCTGAGATGTTTGTGAGGGAACTGAGATGTTAGTGGTGAGTTCTGGTGAGTTCTGGTGCATATTGTACTTGTACGGTGGTAGTAGGATGAGAAAAACCGCCAGATGTGCCTGAAAAACTCAAATTTATTCCAAAAAACAAGTTGCGCTCATTCGACTCAAAATTGAAAACTATGCAACTTTGTCTATACAACTTTTGATACATTTTTTGAGGGTACAGGAGGTCATGGAGAGGTGAAAAACCTAAGTCCAAAACCACAATTGGCGCCATCTGCCAAATCAGCAACCAAATGTTCCAGTCGTTCCCACAGCACCGATCTTCTTGCCCTCGTGATCGGTGCGTGGGAACAGACTGGTCGCGAGTCTACCCTTTGGGATGTCATAAGAGTCTGGTCACGAGACTACCGGCTGTGCACCGTACACATCTGATTAATTTCCTGCTTAAGCTTAATTCGGTTCTGCAGGAAGTGGAACTTGAGGCTCGTGCACAAAGTTTGAGGGTATTGATATGTATACTCCGGCAGTAGGATCCGGATCTGCATCTAACAATGTGGGTGTGACGATTAATATCCCAAGAATCATTTTACCTGCGTGAAACAAAAAAGAGGGAAGGGGTTAGAGCTAGTAGGTAAAATGAGATGTCAAGAAAAACAATATGTGAGATGTGGAACATTTGGACGCGGGGGGTCGAACCCCGGACTGCCAGTGATTCTAGGCATACTTTTCGATTCCAAGCAAGGAAACTGGCTGTGTGCCGTACACCACATCCGATTTCCTGCCTAGTTCAATACCTCCCCAAAGCTCAAGAGGAAAAAGAGTTTGAAGGGGGGTAAAAAAATAATCGCAATGTATTCGGACACGGGAGTCGAACCCCGGCCTGCTAGCGACTTTTTTCTCGTCATGTATGCACTAAGGAAGCTGGCTGTGTGCCATACACCATGTCCGATGTCTTGCTAAGGTTAGTTCGAGTGTATGTACATATCAACTTGAATGTCCTTTACTTTGTCCAGCACAAAATATCTCGAAGAATTGATATCCTTACCTCGGGAAAACACCAGAAATGTGTTGAAAAAACTTACGCTTAAATTCAGCTTCAAGAGCGATCAGACAACTTTGTGAACGGACAAAAAGATGCTGCGTACTAATTGGAATATTCGGACGCGGGGAGTCGAACCCCGGACTGCCTGCGATCTATCGAGTGTTGCGGAGATAAGCCAGCTGTGCACCGTACACCACATCCGATTTCCTGCTTAATTCGGTTCTGCATGAAGTGGAACTTGAGGCTGGCGGATCCTACTGCAGGAGCATACATATCAATACCCGCAAACTTCATGCACCGGGATTTGTATCTAATAATGTCAATGTGGGTGTGGGTGTGACGATTAATATCCCAAGGATGATTTTGCCTGCATGAAAAACAAAACAAAAAAAAGAGGCAAGGGGTTGACTCGGAGAGCTGCTAGTATGTAGGAAAGAGATGCCCCCCCCAAAAAAAAAATTCCAAACCCAAGTTGGGACATTCGGACGCGGGGAGTCGAACCCCAGACTGCCAGCGTCTATATCGAAGTCCCGTGTATTGAAAGCAAGCTGACTGTGTGCCGTACACCACGTCTGATTTATAGGCCGAGTCTCGCAAGCAGCTAGCTGAGTAGAGTAGATCCACAAAAGCAATCGCGTATTTACAGACGGTAGAGTGCAGGGTCAAGGAAGGAAGGAAGGGACGAGGTGGGGGTGTATTTTGTATTGTATTTCAAGTAATATGTATATATAAGTATCTGATTTTTTCTCTCTTATTTCGAGTATTCCGATTCAATCAGCTCGTAGGTAAAATGGGATGTCAAAAAAAATATTCGACGCTTACAGCATTCGGACGCGGGGAGTCGAAACCCCGGACTGCCAGCGTCTATAGCGGGAATTTGCTAGATGGTTAAGCAAGCCGACTGTGTGCCGTACACCACGTCCGATTTATAGGCCGAGTCTCGCAAGCAGCTAGCCGAGTGAAGTAGATCCACAAAAGCAATCGCGTATTTACAGAGGGTAGATAGTGCAGGGTCAAGGAAGGAAGGGGGTGTGTTTTACAGTAGGATCCGGATTGCATCTAGCTAATAATGCGGGTGTGACGATATCCCAAGAATAATTTTGCCTGCGTAAAAAGAAGGATGGAAGGGGTTGAGAGCTAAGATAAAATGAGATGTCAAAAAAAAAATGTGACGTGGAGCGTTCAAATTCGGACGCGGGGAGTCGAACCCCGGAATGCCAGCGACTATAGCGATATCGGGAAAAGCGAGCTGGCTGTGCACCGTACACCACATCCGATTTCCTGCTTAATTCGGTTCTGCATCAAGTGGAACTTAAGGCTGGCTGGTGCACGAAGTTTGAGGGTATTGATACGTATAGTCCTGCAGTAGGATCCGGATTTATATACGTATCTAATAATGTGGGTGCGACAGTATCCCAAGAATGATTTTTGCCTGCGTAAAAAAAAAGATGGAAGGGATTGAGAGCTAAGTAGTAGGTAAAATGAGATGTCAAAAAAAAAAAAAACTGTCAACCAAAGTTGGGACATTCGGACGCGGGGAGTCGAACCCCGGACTGCCAGCGACTAAGTATAGCGATATCGTCAAAGCAAGCCGACTGTGTGCCGTACACCACGTCCGATTTATAGGCCGAGTCTCGCAAGCAGCTAGCTGAGTGAAGTATGTAGATCCGCAAACGCAATCGCGTATTTACAGACGGTAGACGGTAGACAGCAGGGTGAGGAAGGAAGGGACGAGGCGGGGGTGTATTTCGTATTGTATTTCAAGTAATATGTATATAAAGTATCTGATTTCTCTCTCTCTTATTTCGAGTATTCTGATTCAATCAGCGCGTAGGTGAAATGAGATGTCAAAAAAAAAAAATCCAGACGATAGTTGGGACATTCGGACGGGGAGTCGAACCCCGAACTGCCAACGTCTATAGTATAGATGCATGATAAAGCAAGTTGACTGTGTGCCGTACACCACGTCCGATTTATAGGTCGAGTCTCGCAATGAAGTAGATCCACAAAAGCAATCGCGTGCAGACGCAGACGGTCGACAGTGCAGGATAAAGGTAGGAAGGGACGAGGCAGGGGTGTATTTTATTTCAAGTAATATGTATATATATCTGATTTTTTCTCTCTTATTTCGAGTATTCTGATTCACTCAGCTCGTAGGTAAAATGAGATGTCCAAAAAAAAAATGCTGACCATCTTGGAATATTCGGACGCGGGGAGTCGAACCCCGGACTGCCAGCGTCTATATTGTGGATGCAAGTTCCATAAGCAGCCGACTGTGTGCCGTACACCATGTCCGATTTATAGGCCGAGTCTCGCAAGCAGCTAGCTGAGTAGAGTAGATCCGCAAAAGCAATCGCGTATTTACAGACGGTAGACGGTAGACAGCAGGGTGAGGAAGGAAGGGACGAGGCGGGTGTGTATTTTTGTATTGTATTTCAAGTAATATGTATATATAAGTATCTGATTTTTTCTCTCTTATTTCGAGTAGTATGCTGATTCAATCAGCTCGTAGGTAAAATGAGACGTCAAAAAAAAAAAAAAAACCAGACGATAGTTGGGATATTCGGACGCGGGGAGTCGAACCCGGACTGCCAGCGTCTATAGTATAGAGTCTCCATGATAAAGCAAGCCGGCTGTGCCCCATACACCACGTCCGATTTGTAGGCCGAGTCCCGCAAGCAGCTGAGTTACAGTGAAGTAGATCCGCAAAAGTAATCAATCGCGTATTTACAGACGGTAGACAGTGCAGGGTCAAGGAAGGAAAGGACGAGGCGGGGTGTGTTTTACAGTAGGATCCGGATTGTATCTAATAATGTGGGTGTGACAATATCCAAGAACAAGAATGATTTGCCTGCGTGACCAAGAAAAAAAAAGAGGGAACGGGTCGAGAGCTGCTAGTATGTAGGTAAAATGAGATGTCAACAAAAACAATATGTGAGACGTGGAACATTCGGACGCGGGAGTCG